TGAGTCTGATGCCCAGCTCATCTTTGGTTTTGAGGTGTCTTCACTCTTAAGTTAAGTTGGTCCTAAACAGGGAGTAGTTTTTCTAGTTTCTATGAAGCTCCCTATGCATTTTGGTTCAGATTTTCCCCACTCACATGACTGTTGCTTAAAAAGTGCTAAAGATGCCATGAGCCATATTGAATACTGATTTCGCTGCTATGTACAATATTGAACATTTTTTCTTAAAATTAGAGCAACCAGAACTTCCCAGCCCACTTCCACTCTGTATTTCCCATTGTCTTTCAGATATGAATGAGTGTCATGAATGCCAAGATGAAACCTCTCCAAACAGGAACCGGGACTTTTGTATTCCCAAGACTGTAACCTTCCTGTCCTATGAGGAATCTTTGGGTTTCAGTTTGACCCTCATTGCCCTTTTCTTCTCCTTCCTCACACTTCTGATACTGGGCATATTTGTGAAGCACCACAACACTCCCATCGTGATTGCCAACAACCGGGACCTCACTTACGCACTCCTCTTCTCCCTCCTGCTCTGTTTCCTTTGCGTGTTCCTCTTCATTGGCCAGCCCAAGCGGGCAATGTGTCTTCTCCAGCAAGCAGCCTTTGGTATTATCTTTGCCATGGCCATTTCCTCTGTGCTAGCAAAAACCATCACTGTGGTGGTGGCTTTCATGGCCACCAAGCCGAGAAGCAGGATGCGGAAATGGGTGGGGAAAGGACTGGCCATTCTTGTAGTTTCTGTCTGCTCCCTCATCCAAGTAGGCATCTGTGTGGGGTGGCTGGCAACTTCTCCCCCTTTCCCAGATGTGGACATGCACTCAGAGCATGACAAACTGGTCCTCAAGTGTAACGAGGGATCGGTGACAATGTTATACTGTGTGCTGGGCTATCTGGGCTTCCTGGCCAGTGTGAGTTTCAGTGTGGCTTTCCTTGCCAGGAAACTGCCTGACAGCTTCAATGAAGCCAAATTTATCACCTTCAGCATGCTGGTCTTCTGCAGTGTCTGGCTCTCTTTTGTTCCCACTTACCTGAGCACCAAGGGAAAGTATGTGGTGGCTGTGGAGATCTTCTCTATCTTAGCCTCCAGTTCAGGACTGCTAGGTTGCATCTTTTCCCCCAAATGTTACATTATTGTGTTGAGACCTGAGATGAACAAAAAGGAACAGCTGATAAGGAGAAAAAGTTGAAGGAGTTAAGTTGGGATCTTTCCTTGCATTGGTGATGTTGGTGCTTGGGTGTGATGATCAGGACATGATTCGACAGATTCCCTCCAGGTCTCCAGGTCTCATGTACTTTTTGAATGGAATCAAGTCAACTAAATGTCAGCTACCCAATAGACCCACCTTAACTCTGCTCCCAGAAACAGTATCTATAGGCACCACAATATGGTTTGAAAGTGAAGAAGAGAAGGTAAGGAGCATCTCAGAGAGAAAGGGCAACAACTCAGGGCACAAAGCTCCCAAAGTTTTAAAACCATAAAATCTATTTCTGGCACAAGGAGAAGCCAAATCAATTGCCTCCACACAGAAGCACAATTTTTTCTTCTGCATTCCCTTGAAAGGAATTATTTCTCTTACTATTTCTTTTTGTGGGACATTCCATGGTCTGTTGAAATTTCCTGTCTCAGGGGAAGGAAAAAGCACACTTAAAGTGTGTCTATTCAAACTTATTTTTATTCTGAAATTCCAGGGGGAACCCTGACATTTTTTTCAGGGAATTAAATCAGTCCCTTCCATTTTGTCTTTGTTTTTAATCAGAAGGAGTGTAATTCTGTTTCTCAAAACTCCTGTGGAGTTCGACTAATTCAATGTACATCAGTCTTTCAACATGTAAGCCAGTTAGCTCTCAGAGTTATGGAGTAACATTCAGAACCGGTAAAGATTTTGAATTCTCTGGGGTTCAGACCTTTCAGCAGATAATGGTGCCAAAATCAAGCCATATCATCCAGGGTTTTGTACTTACAGCATTGTAGAAGAAACTGTGACTTGAGTGTACATTTGTGTTTGCAATGTTGCTCATGTTTTCAATGCTGTTGTGGATGATACTTTTTCCTCACCTAGTTTGGAGGGATCTCACTGAGGAGGGGAGGTGTAGGCTATTTAATCCACACTATCCTCCTCATGTGTATTATCAATCAGGGAATCTCATAATTGGAACTATGGCTACTCATGGTATCTTCATCTCCCGCCCAACAGGCTTCACCACAGAGCCCCCTCCAGCATTGCCTGAATACTTTGTGTAAGCAATATTTTTGTTTGCTTTTCTTTCAATGTGGATATGCTACAATTAGTAGTACTAAAGCTGCTACTCTCACTGACACAGAGAATCTTATTCCAGTAGAGAGTACTGAAAAAGTAAATGCTCATTTACTGAACCAGAAAATAATGTGGATGTTATAAATTTGGGAATCTCAAAGGTATTGCATTCCTGTTTATTTCTGCTCCTACTTTCACTTCTTTCTTCCTCAAATGCTGTTCTGCAAAAGCTCTCTTTTGGTCCTCTGTTTCATGGCTTGTTTCCATTTCTGCCTATTTTTCAGTGTTCCTTATTTTTCTAACACTTTTTCCTGACAAAAAGATAGGCTGCTCATTGTAGGATTAACATTCTGAGTCTCATAAATAATGAGAGAATTTTCTTTGCAATTTGCAAAAAGCAGATATAAAAATAGTACTCATATGCCTTAAAGTTACAGTAAAAATTGAGTCAAAACAAGGTGCAAATACATCATGAACTCTACCACAGAGTAATAATAGGGAGAGAATAAAAACAAGGTGAAACCAGCATCAGGAAATAATTACAATATAGTAAAAAATTAAAACAGTGAGTCAAATAAGACAGCATATAAATATTGAAGAAATGATAATATTTTTAACTATGGTAACAAGGAACACAGTGGCAAAAATTTTTAAAAAGTACAATAAACTTTACTCCAAAATGCACCTCTCATTCTAGTGTTTTGACTAAAGCTTACCAGCTCATCCTCACTCTGGCATTCACAGTGAAGGAAATTAATGCAAACCCTCAGCTCTTGCCCAACCTCACCTTGGGCTTCCACATCTATGGCAGCTATGACATTGCTAGGAGCACCTATCAAGCCACAATGCTACTTACATCAGGACTGCAGAGACTGATCCCCAACTACAAATGTAGCATCCAGCATAACCTAGTAGCAATCATTGGGGGACCAGACTCTGAAATCTCCCTTCATGTGGCAACTCTCCTGGATATCTACAAGATTCTTCAGGTAGAACTCTCTCTCCTTTTGTATGTGTGTGTAGAATTGGACAACAGCCCTGCTTAATTTCTTGATCATTGGATGGATTCTAAAAGGAACATACGAAGGATAGTGGGAAAGCTTAGGGTGATGCTTTAAAGAGAAGTTGTTGAATTTATTGATCAGTGTCTGTTAATATAAAATCTCTCATACTCATGGAGAACTTCACTGAGATGGTGCTTTCTTTCTTTTATTTTTTTTAAATCTTGATTTCTTCATTTTAACTGATTTGCTTGATTCCAGTTTTTGTATTGTAATTAAAGAAAGGGGTACCTCAAATATACTCAGATGGACTTTAGAAACACTGTACTAAGAAAAAACCACTATGAATGAAATAATCCATTCAAAATTCAAAATTAATGTGAGATCCCAGTTCTATTTATCTGGATAGCAATGGTATTACATATTTTTCTGCATCTCTGTTTTATCAAGAAACAAATTCGCATTGACCTATTATGCAATATTTCTTGTTCCCAATCCTTTTCACCTCAGCCTGTGTTCTTTCAGAGTACCATCTTCTTCTAGTACAATATAATTTTGTGTCTACTGCAAGGTTATGGGAGAACCTATAGCTCTCTAGCTCCATTTCTAAAAGACTGGATTTACAATCATTTTTACAATTTGGGGTATGGCTGAACATAGTGGTTGGATCTACACTAAGTTTGTAACCCTTGGGCACAACTGAACACTATATGAAAGACTACTCACCTAGAAACAAATGCTCATTGATTTCCATGCAGGTAGCTTAAAGAAATGAAGTCCATATCCATCTCCAAGTCCAAGAAGGAAGGGAAGGAGGGAGGGGATTCCAAATGAATACATAGCAAGGTTATCAATCATTGCAACTGGCCACAATAGCAATTTTCTGTACAATAAGTATGAATTTAGTTTAATATGTTCCCTGACGTGTCTTGCTATACATTCATTCATTCATTTAAAACTTTTATATCCCTTCCCTTCTGACAAACGGCTCAAAATGGCTTACAATCCATGTTCTGGTCTCTCTTCTGAATGACTCAAACATTAGCCAAAACACTCTTTGGTCACTCAAGCTCAGCTGTCATCCTGCCATGGTTGGTTGAGAGAAATGAGAGAAAGATGACAGGTGCACATCCAGTCTAACAAGACACTCCACCTGGAGTCAGCAGTCAAGAGCTGCCTGTGTCGAGGCGTGCAGCCCAGTATGTAAACAATCCACACATTCTAAAGCAATAAAACCAAAGTCCTTTAATGCTAATTGTCTACAAAATTTACAACTCTATAGGTAAGTTCCCTAACAGCAGTCCTTGCTAAGCAGATGTTAACTCTCTAATGGCTTCTCTTCCCAAGCCCACGTGGGATCATTCTCCCAAGTCACGCCTTTCCTCCCTCTTACGTAGTCTACTTTGCCGCTGTTCAAATCTGTGTAAAATACGTCTGTTCTCGGCTTTTAAGAAATCCACGACACCTATTGTGTCTTCTGTTTCTGGCTCAGGGAGATCAGCATCAGAGGGAAAAGAGGCAGTTTGCTCTGCCTCCTTCTGAGTAGAACTTGCAGCTTCCTCTTTCTCATGACTCTCTGTCTCTGATAAAGGTCCAGGCATTTGCTCAACGTGCTGGGGCTCAGAGGAAGACGCAGCAGTTGACTCAGCCGTCCCTGCGTTGGGTTGTGGGGTCGACTCTTGGGCACTGGGTGTCATGTGCAAGGTTTCCTCATGAGTCACTGTTTCTGTCGGGGCTTCATGCACGACAGCCTGCTGCAGAGCTGAAATGTTTAAAATGATCTTGCAAACATGCTCAATTGGCCAGAACACAGCCAATTTCCAGTGTGTTTGAGATGTGTGTGTGTGTGTGTGTGTGTGTGTGTGAGAGAGAGAGAGAGAGAGAGAGAGAGAGAGAGAGAGAGAGAAGGGGGGACTTGCCTGCTTTTTGGGGATCCCTCTGAATTTTGGAGAGTCGGTGCAGACTAGGGAGATGTAGGGACTTTATTCATCCCATGGGCTTAAGTGCTCATTCTTGCAGTGGAACATGCATTGGAACTGCAGAAGATATCCAGTGGTGCCTCTGCTCCCTGATGCAGAGGAGTGCAACTCAAACTTGTTGCTAGAAGATCAATCTGCACCTGATGCTTCCCACTTTCACCCTCCAGCACCCTTTTGCAGACAGATGCAATTTGGAAGAAAGGTTCTTGTGTCCTCACTATTGACTGTCAGAGCTAGAGAAAGTTACTAAGAGTTGAGCCCTCTGAATACTTGTCTGTGGTCTGGTGTTCATCACAGGCCTTGAAGAACAGGACTGCTCAAGGTTTCAAGAACCTGAAGGAAAGGTTCATGGAGGAGCCAGTGCCTCTGTGATCTTGGCTTGACTCTTCCCTCCCCGGTCCCATACTGAGGACACTTGAGTTCAGATCAAGTCAGGATGATAGTGGGTGTGAGGAACATTCTTTATTTACAAGGGGCGTTCAATGTATTCTCTGTATCAGCATGAAGAAAAAGGAATAATAAATTTAAGTAATTTTTATTTTTCAATGTAATCCCCCATAACTTCAATACACTTACATCTAGAAATTAACTTTTTAATTCCCTGTATAAAACACCCTCCCTCCTTGTCTAAAAAATGTGCATTAATTGCCACCTTGAGTTCTTCATCGTCGGAAAATGGCTTTCCACGAAGATCTTTTTTTTAAATTCAGGAATAGGTAGTAGTCACTGGGGGCCAGGTCTGGGCTATAGGGTGGGTGGTTTATTTCTTTGAAACCACAGTCTTGCACAGCAGCCTTCGAAACACGTGCCGTGTGAGCAGGCGCGTTGTGAAGAAGCAACACACCTGTGGTCAGTTTTCCCTGCCTCTTTTCTTTAATTGCTTCTCTTAAATTACCCAGGGTGGTTGTGTAAGATGCTGCATTTATGGTTTCACCTTTTTTCATGTACTTAA